TTCATTTTTATTTTACCGAGTTTATGTATGCGACTATAAGTCGCTTCAATATATCCACTGGGAACGCAAGATATAAAATTACTCGCATTTTAATGGGTTATATTCGATATTAAAAGTATGATTTTATTCAGTCTCTGAGACACCGATTAAAGGTGAAAATTGCTTTAAAATCAATGTTTTTTGAAGTTTAGTGTTTCAGCCGGCGAACCCATAGAAAACCCTTTGCGACCCTAAACTGATTTCGTGATTGGAAACTCGTGCTTTAAACAATATACTGAAGCATGTTTACCATCAACTGCGTAAAGTTAATCTGATCTGAAGAATTGTTCTGCGTAGTTACTTCCGAATATCATTTGTTTGGCGAATTATTTTGCGTACTATTTTTCTAAAACTAGATGCTGGAAAAAAATATTTAAAGCTGCAAGGCTTTAAGCGAAGAGTATCCAAGTACTCATGGCTTTCTAAAGAATATTTCGAGATTTCAAAATCATTTTCTCAAATAAATTTGATGCTGGATTTCTGTCTTCCCGATCCATGCTTTAATGGCAGGAACATTTTTAAAAGCCTGCGACGTTGATTCTTAGTGATACTTTGCGCTATGGTAAAACTCTAAATATCATCAGCCATCTTCTGTAGTGCTGTTAAAGTACGAATGGTAAATGATATTCGTCAAATTAGTGATAAAATTCTTTTTGCACCTTGTTCGTGGCTGTTCAGTTTTCACTAATATTTGATGCGTTCACTGATCGTTCGTTGTAATGGCACCTGTAGGATCGTTACCGTAGTAATGTAATCATTTTGTCCATCCACCATGTCGGAAATATAATAGGCTTTGCAATTATGTTGCAATGCTTAATTTTATGAGGTCCGCAGAGCCCTAAGCAGAAAGATTACACATTGGGCACGGTAACTGTAAATCTTTCACGCAGTCTGTTTCCAAATATGGACTATAGTTGACAGTGGTGGCAATTTCTTCGAATTTTTCAGGCAAAGTAGGAAACGAACTGTCCGCTCATCGTTGATAACAAATAGCCTAGATATTTTAATGGCATTCTTGTGAGAAAAGTTAATTCTTTAGTAAAGCGTCTAGAGTTAGACGTTAGATTCTGATGACGAGCTGCTGCATCCTATGACACTTGATAATCATGAGAACATTTTTTTGTTGACTAGTAGGTGAGTAGATTCATTTACAAATAAGCTAAAGTGATTTCTCTCTGTATCCAAAATGGAAACATCGAAATCGCTTAAATTATGTCTTTGGTGTAGTAAGAGTTCTACAGTGGCTGAATACTCAATACAATTATGTGGATCTGTAGGTTTTTTAAAGGAGACTCAATATGTTAAATATTTCGCCTACAGTGACTTATCCTATTTCATAAATTGAGTGAATGACAAATTTACATATCGTATGAGAAAAGCAAAAACATTTGGGAGAGCGTCTAGCAGCATGCAAGGATGAGGAGACGAGTCGTACGCCCAATCATGCACAACTCCATGAATCATCATAATCCAATTTAAGCCAACAGTACACAGGTTACAATGATAACTAACAGTGTAAATGATATCAAAATTAGGAAAACAGCTTATATTTAATCTTTTCCTTCGTGCTCAAACACGGAGAAGAATCAAAACAGATTTACTAATAGTTGGCTACCATTTTTAAAATTTTTGCAGCAAGGTTGAACGGAACATTTGGTGTACGGTTTTT